AAAGCAGACTACAAAGATAGTCTCCAGTCTTATACTTTATTTAAGATGATGCAATACTCTGGGCAATGCAGTAAGAAATTTGAAGGGTAATATAATGGTGATTATTTATTTTACTTTTGCATCCTTTTTGGTGATTTCATCATTTTCCTTTTTCTTATTATTTTAGTCTTTTTTTTTAAAGTACAGTTGTAAATAATCCAAGATACCGGATAAAATAAGACCACTAAGACCCTATAATATAGCTTAAATTTATTAAAGGTTACAATGGATTCAAATGGTAATTATAAGATAGAATGAGTTTTATTGTGTTTTTAAAAATAAGTATAATTTCTCTTTTTCAATTTTTTTGATGTATCTCCATGCAGTTTTCCATAGTGGCTGCACCAGTCTGCAGTCCCACCAACAGTGCACCAGGGTTCCCTTTTCTCCACAGCCTCGCCAGCACCTGTTGTTTGTTGATTTATTGATGATAGCCATTCTGACTGGAGTGAAGTGGTATCTCATTGTGATTTTTATTTGCATTTCTCTGATGATTTAATGAGATTGAACATTTTTTCATATGCCTGTTGGCCCTCTGTATGTCCTCTTTAGAGAAATGTCTCTTCATGTCCTCTGCCCATTTGTTAACTGGGTTGTTCGTTTTTTTGAGTTGAGTTGAATGACTGTTTTATAAATTTTGGGTATTAACCCCTTATCAGATGTATTGTTGGCAGATATCTTCTCCCATTCAGTAGGATGCCTTTTTGTTTTATTGATGGTTTTCTTTGCTGTGAAAAAGCTTTTTAGTTTGATGTAATCCCACATGTTTATTTTTTCTTTGCTTCCCTTGCCCAAGGGGATACATCAGTAAAAGTATTACTAAGGGTAATGTCTGCAAATTTTCTTCCTATATTTTCTTCTAGGAGTTTTATGGTTTCGGGTCTTACATTTAAGTCTTTGATCATTTTGAATTTATTCTTGTGTATGGTGTAAAGATTTTGTAGGGGGTCAGATGGGCACTTGTCTTATTAGGGAAACCACTTCATGGACTGTGTAGATAGATGTCTGACCACTGAAGCTGAATAATATGGAATATCAACTATAATATATACATTATATATATATGGTCACGGGATGTGGAGTACAGCATAGGGAAGATAGTCAGTGGAATTCTAACAGCTATATACGAGGGATAGTAGATTAGGGGAGGGGGGTTATCACTTTGTCAGGGGTGTAAATGTCTAACTATTACAGTGTTTTGTACACCTGAAACTAATAAAAAAATAAAATAAAATAAGTATAATTTCTCCTTGTTTTTTGGGAGACTCTAAAAGACTAAAATCATGAAATAATAACCCTCCCAAATAGTAAGGAATTGTTCCAAAAAGAAAGTAAAAAACTAAATTTGGGCCCAATGGACCTAATGTTATACCAAGGACAGAGTTGACTAGAAATATATGCTGACTATATTAAAGAAGCTTTTATTGTGGAGTCAACTGGGAGGGAAACGACTCTTAATTAGTTTTAGCCTTTCTTTACTACACTTAAGCTTGCAGAAGTTTGCTGTGGCTTACAGCTTTCTGTTCTGACCTTCCTCTTATCTATGCAGCATGGACAGAAAGAATAAATTAACTTCTTTTTGATTGAGGTAGGTGCTTCTTCCTCCTGTTCATTTTGTTTGTGGGAGCCCTGCTTTATCTCGTGTGTGTCTATTCTAAGCCTTTTTTCTCTATCACAGCCCTTGAGCTGTTGTTAGCTGTCGAAGTGAAGTGCATCTCTGTTGAGCCCAGAGCACTACCAGTGTCCCAGTTGGGAAGAATCTCTAATAGGTGTGTATGCCAAGCACGATAGCATTGTGTGCAGGCATTACAGGAGTCTGCCAAACCCAGTGGTAGCCTGCCAGTACAAATGCCACGTTGACATGACATTTACAAGTTTAGAACCTGGAAAAGGACTGACAATGAACACCCTTCAGCTCCCTCATTTAGAGTGGCAGTAACTGGGCCAATTTTGGATTTTTAGACTCAGAAATCACAGTCAAGAGGTAATATTTGATAGAGAACTTGAAACTCTCACTGCCAGTTTTCTTTAGGAAGTCATGAATGCTGTTAGCCTGTTCCTGGGGTGCAGGATAAACCATGATGGTTGATCACAGACTCTAGAATCAGATCTGGATTTGAATGAGGGCTCTGTCACTGTGTGACCCTGAGCAAATTATTTAATCTCTGTAAGCCTCAGTTTACCATCTGTAAAATAGGGATAATAATATCACTTCCCTCCTAGGATTATTGGATGGATTAAATAATACCTTTAAAAGTGTAGCTTTTTAGAAGAAAAAACACCAAAAAATGTTATCAGTTCTATTCATCTGTTTGATTTTTTTTTCACTTAATATATTTTAGACTTCTTAGATATTTTGGTAGGTAGGTAGTTAGGTAGACAGACAAAAAATTATGATGGAAAAGCAGTGGATATAGTTCATATTATTTTTTAAAGAAGAAAAAATATTATACTAACCTTTTGGTATTCCATCCAGATTGATCTCTCCTGATCTCTTTTCTTCAGTTGATTATAATGTTTATACCATAATCATAGATTTTACTAACTCCCAGGTGATTTGAAATTCAAATTCTTCTGATTAGATATTAGTTCCTTGCTGCTCAAAGTGTGGTTCACAAACTGTGGGGCATGAGTCACCTTGGAGCTTGTTGAAAACACAGAATCTCAGACCCCACCCCAGACTTTCTGAATCAGAGTCTGCATTTTAATAAGATCCTCAGGCCATTGAGCATGTAGTAAAGTCTGAGAAAACACGATATTAGGTCATTTTTTTTTAATAATTTTTTTTTTTTTCAGTTACAGTTGACATACAGTATTATATTAGTTTCAGGTATATATCCAGTCATGTTAACATTTTAATAGGTTTCCTAATTTACACATTGTAAAATCAACTCAATACTTACTATTGAATTAAATCAGATTTGTTGACTTAGTGTCTCTAATTCAGAATATCTTACATAATTGGAACTTTTATTTCCATGTTCAATTTGTCTTCAGATACTCTTCTCTTTGTTTTCTTAGTTATATTATTTCATAGCCATGTACAGTATTACCTTTTTATTTTAAAATTGAATTTTTAAATTACTGTTCAGAAAGGCAATACTACTTCAGATTACCAATACAATTGTATCTGCATTCTGAAATCTAAGTTTAATAATAATTTACATGTACACACATACTAAGAAAAAAGAGTAGAAGCACATAAAATTGTAGGCAGTGGCTGGTAATCTTGCTGGTGGGGATTATAAAAAAAAAAGACATATCTTTATGGATAAATGTTTTCAGATTTTTGGGGTATATACACAGGAGAGGGATTGCTGGGTCATATGGTAATTCTATTCTTAAATTTTTGAGGACCTCCACACTGCCTTCCATAGCGGCTGCACCGATCTGCATTCCCACCAACAGGGTATGAGGGTTCCGTTTTCTCCACAGCCTCTCCAACACTTATTATTTGTCTTGTTGATCATAGCCATTCTAACTGGTGTAGGGTGATACGTCATTGTGGGTTTTTTTGCCTTTCTCTGATGATTAATGATGTTGAGCGTTTTTCATATGTCTATTGGCCATCTGTATGTCCTCTTTGGAGAAATGTCTATTCAGGTCCTCTGCCCATTTCTTAAATGGGTTGTTTGTTTTTTTGTTGTAGAGTTGTATGAGTTCCTTATATATTTTGGATATTAGCCTCTTATCGGAAGTGTTATTCGCAAAAATCTTCTCCCATTCAGTTGGTTGCCTCTTTATTTTGTTGATGGTTTCTTTTGCTGTGCAGAAGCTTTTTAGTTTGATATAGTCGCATTCATTTATTTTAGCTTTTACTCCCCTTGCCTTCGAGGACAATTCATAAAATCCTCTTTGAACCCAAGGTCCATAAGTTTAGTACCTATGTTTTTTTCTATGGTTCAGGTCTTATGTTTAGGTCTTTGATCCATTTTGAGTTAATTTTGGTACATGGTGACAGATAACAGTTTAATAGAATAGAATTGAAAACCCAGAAATAAACCCACATAAATATGAGCAGATAATTTTTGACAAAGGAGCCAAAACATACAATGAAGAAAAGAAAGCCTCTTTAATAAATGGTGCTGGGAGAATTAGAAAGCCACGTGTAAAAGAATGATCAGTTTTTAATCTAAAAATGCTCTAAAAATAAAGTGTATTAATTTTTTAATATATAAAAAAGCAATTAGAGGGAAACTTAAGGATATAAATGTTTATATTAGGAAAAGAAAAAAGATTTTAAATGAAATACCTAAGTTTCTAACTTATTAAGCTAGTTTAAAAGAAAAAAAATCAAACTAAACCTAATGTAAGAAGTGGAAAGCAAATAAAGATAATAACAAATGTCAGTGATAAACAAAAAAAGTGTAAGCACTTTTCCCAGTGCTTGTCCAGTGCTAAGTGGTGTGTGTGTGTGAGAATTTTTTTTTTAAGTTTCCAGGGACATGTCCTGACGTGAGCTGTGTGTAAGACTCTCTTTGACTTAAGAATTGGAGGAACGCTATGCACAGGAAGCCTAGCGCATAGTTTTCTTTGCCTCTCTAGGAAAATTTAAAGTTGGAGCCAGGGTTATTTGAGCACTTGGCATCTCTACAGTTTCTCATATGCAGAAACCATTGGGTATTAAGAATTGATTTCCGAAAGAGCAGTCCCTTGATTGGCCTGAAAGTTTCCTATGGTGCATTCTAATGCAAAGTGACTACGTAGGGCTATTTTGAAGGATATACTGTGGCTGGATAGGGAGACTGTCTTTCTGGTGTGGATAACAAGGTACTTGGTTTGATTAAGTCTTTATCATAATCTAGTAGCTAAATAACAGACTTTTGCTGCCTATATAAAATATAACCCTCACCATAGCACTTATTTTATTTCCTTTAATCATTTTCAATACTATTATCAAAGCCTCTCAAGTGACAGAATTCTGTCTTTTTTATGTGTGTATGTGTGCACTTGTTTTTCAGATCTTCAAAGCTGCTACGGGCATTTTATGTCCCCTTCCTGTCAGATCAGTATACCGTGTATGCAAACTATACCATCCTCAAACCCCGGAAAGCCAAGCAAATCAGGAAGAAAAGTGGAGGTTAGCAACGCGCCTGTGGTCCCAAGGACAGCCATCCTGTTAACTAGTGATTCCACTGACAGGACTCCCTCCAAGTCATCTCTTGTAACATGTGTAATAAAGGCCACTGCCACCAATACTGGGACCTGGCTGCTTGGGCCAGTCCGAGTCCACCACAGTCACGTCTCGCCTGTGTCTCTGTTCTGCATGTAACGTTTGTGCGGCTAGGCAGACAAAGGCCCTAAAGTGCAGGTAGATATAGTGCTCCACTTCTCATTGTTTTTCTTCTGTTCAATTATTTACCAGACCGGAGAAGAGCAGAACCAACTCACAGGAAGAACTGAAAATCCCTGGACTGGATGGCTGTGTTAAGCTGTTCTCTGCACTCTGGACTTGCATCGAGCACTAGCAAGCCTCTTGGGGGCCATATGGGCTTCTCACCAAAGCTGTGTGGCAGCTCTGAGCAGACCTTGTTCAAATCCTAGTACTGAAAATGAGCACAGCCTAGTTGCCCACCTACATGTCCTTTTCACCTCCGGCAAGACTAAGCTTCTCTGAAAGCACTTCACAGGACTAGGACCCTGTGCTGCAGCTATCTCAGGAAAAAGGCAACTATGTGAGGAAGTGTGACCTAATTTCATTATATAGGATGCCTCTTATTTTCATTTTATTGCCTTTACAACAAACTAAATATATATTCTATTGAATTCAAGACTTCCCTGTATAGATATATCAACAGACCAGACTATAATTGTATAGGACATATTTGGAGAAAATTAATTCTACCAGTCGGTACAGTCGGATAACATCACATTTTTAAGTACTATATTCTGAGGCCATTTCTGTGGAAATTGAGAATTTCCCTTTTTAAAACAACCCCAGTGAAAAAGACCAATGTATATTTACAGCACCTGTTTTTGAGTCTCTGTGTTACAAAGCACATCCTGCATGGGCAGTTCTCATCAAAGAGGCATTTATAAGGACCTGATTAAAATTTAATAAGTATATACTATTTATTACCTTTATATACAGTATTTCATCATTTACAAAGTACATGCGCATTATCCCATTTGATCCTCAGTCCCATCATGAGGTAGACAAGGCAAGTGGTTTTATCCCCTTTTTACAGATGAAGAAACTGAGACTACAGGGGGAGGTAAAGTGACTTGCCCAAGGTCACATAGCCAGTAAGTAATAACACTAGGACTAGATCCTAGGTTGCCTAACTTCTCATCTATTGTTCTTCCATATCTCACTTGACTATGAAAACATTACTTGAAAGAATGATGAGGTTGGCCAAAGACCTGACTGATAATGTAACTTTCTATTTTAAGGAAGAATTTTATCTGTATTTCTTTGAGTTCTTTGGAGCCTCTAGTCTGTCTGTTGGTTGGACCATCACAGCAGTGCCCTGTGGTACAGCCTGGCCTGTGGCAGGGAAGTAGTGTTCATGTTTTGAAGTCATACTTCTTTGTAGCTACACAGAATTCAGTGTCAGTTCCACTTCTGTAGTCAATCTGGGGTCACATTATAGGTGCCTTATTTCCCTAAGGGTAATTGTGTCTAGTATCTGCAAATAGATTGAATCTATTTTTCAGAGTTTCCATCTGTTTTCAAAGAGAAGGGCTTTTCAGTAGGAACTGATCCCAAGAGAGGAGAAAAGTGATAACGGAAGACATGGCTAGTCACCATATAAAAAGTCTCCCTTTTAGGACCCCCTTTAAAGGAATATCGGATGGGGTTGAAGTGCTGGAGAGGACTAGGTGTCGACAGCATAGAATGATAACTGGAGAGTGAAGATAAACTTGGGCCCCATTTGCTGCTCTAAAGATTTTGGGCATTCTCAATACTTGATTATAGTTTTCCAAATATTGGCACATTTCTTCTGACTACAGGATAGAGAATTTTCAGTGAAATATCTTGCCATCCCTACATTAATAGAGTACAGTCCTTCACAGTGGCTAAATCCCTGTACTTTTTGCAGAGGTAAATAGGAGATTTCAGTAACGAAGGTCCATGATGAGTGGTTTTTCTTTAATCAAAGTGATGCAGTGCTGATCTATTTTGTCATCTTGCATGTAAAAAAAAAAAGTTTTCTGAACAAGAACTTAATGGTAATATAGCACAAAAAAGGTCATGATTGAATCAGGGATTCCTTGGGAATATCAGTTTGTATCCTTTTTAAAACCTGATTTTGGTTTTCTCTATTCTATGTATATCTTTAGTGACAACACAATAAATTGCTGAACATTGTGCCAAATGCTATAGGTAAGAGATAGACAAATGAATGGTTTTGTTATGAAGGTGTTTTTCGTGTGATATTATATAAAAGCATTTAAAAATCTCCATCTCGGGGCCGGCCGAGTGGCTCAGTTGGTTAAGAGTTGGTTTAAGAGCATGAGCTCTGAGTAACAGGGCTGCCGGTTCAGTTCCCATATGGGCCAGTGATGCTGCGCCCGAGCTGAGCTGTTGCTGAGCTGCCAACAGGAGGCAGGATGACTCAGCTGGTGTAATAAGACTGCCTGTTCAATGGTGGGTTACGCCCACCCGCAACTAATACTGAACTCGGCACCTTGAGCTGAGCTGCTGCCCAGATGCTCAGTGGATAGAGTGTGCGCTCTTAACAACAAGGCTACTGGTTCGACTCCCATGTGGGATGGTGGCTACGCCCACCCGCAACTAAGATTGAACACAGTACCTTGAGCTTAGAGGCCACGAGCTGCCGATGGGAAGCCAGATGACGACTGGCACTTTTCACAACGAAGATTGAAGAACAACAACTTGGCTGGTCCCCTCCCCCAATTCCCCAATAAAATCTTAAAAAAAGAAAAAAAAATCTCCATCTCAGCAGTCCAGGGAGGTTAACTTTACCTGGGGAAAGAGTTTCAAAACACCTGGTCAGAGTGACATTTCTCCTCCAGAGAATCAATGTTCAGCATGAGCTGACTGCCCGGGTACTTTTCTTCTCCATAAATTGTTGAGTATCAAGGAATGAAGAACTACAGATTGTAATAACCTTTGACTATGGAGCTGAGTGAGGGAGTAGGTGTACTTGGCAATAGCAGGACTCTCTGATCTCGAGATCTTAAGCTGCCTTATCTGAACCCCAAATCTTACAACACTGAGTCCCATTACTAAACCAGAGTGTGTAGCGGACATCTATTATCACAGCTTACCTGTCACCTCTTAGGTGTCATCTGATAAGAAAGAAGATGCATCATTTTATTCTCTTGGGATAATCACAGAGAATTGAGGCCCATACTCTTTATTACTGAATTCAAATTTAGAAACAGATTGTCTTAAATCAAGATGGTTCTTGATCCCAACCATTTATTTGGGTCATTTTTCCTAGTTTGGAGTTCTGGGAAAGAATCTTGAAAATCCCATGTGACTCTGCAACATTAGATTTGGAAGTGACCATTTGGGCAGAGCACCAATGGCAATCCTTTATTGTGTTTTACATTTCATGGGATTTATTGAAATAAGACCTCGCTGTGATTGTATCATCTTCTGGCCAGTGTCAGGCAGCTCTGCTTTTAATTTGGTTAATTTTATTTTCTCTGAAGAGGCAAAAGAGGCACAATTTAATCTTTGCCTCCACAGGCATATTAAAGCTTATGTGTTAATTCATTCTTACGCTCCTACATTAAATTAAATGCCTTGGGTAAATGGATAAACGGACATGTGTTGACTTTTAATTTTTTGCAAGGGAACATCAGACACCGTATGGCATTGTTGTATTTCAGAGGCTCTCTAGTGTTTCAGTAAATCTAAATGAATGTTGCCTTCAATTTTTCCAATATACGTAACCATGTGATTCATGCTGCAAATGAAATCAGGAAGCAGTAAAGCGCTGAAGCAACAGTATTGTCCAATTCATTTGTCTTCCTGATCCTTGTGCTTTATTTCACATGTCAATGTTTACATTCATACTTGTATTTTCTGTGAAAGAAAAAAGTTAAATAAATCTTGGCAGTTTGATTTTCCTTTTCTTAAGGTGATTTTTCTCTTTTGCTTTTAGCTTTTAAATCTTTGGTGGAGATTGGAAACTAAAGTAGCTCAACTCCTTCCATCTGCCCCAGTCCCACCCTTCAGTGTATGAACCTGCATTCTATTGTACAAGCCAAATATCTCAGACTTTTTATTCTCAAAAGTCTGGGAAGAAGCCTTTGGGAAACCCAGTGAGAATTAGTTGTATTCTGTGGAAAAGCCAAGCACAGTAGGAATTACTCAGTGTGTCAATGTTGTACATAAAAGAGAGAGTTTCTGGGTTCATCTTATGTTTTTGGATTAAGAATCTCCATCATGTGAGAGTCTTAAGAAATATTCATAGAAATGTGGATCTAGTAATATCTAACATTTAGGTAATGTCCCCCTTTGTTGGGAGTTAGGAGCGATAAAGCTTTCCTTAGTGAATGAATTCCTAACACCATTCTTATACCTTGCACCTTACAACCAATAACTTCTAGTAGCCATCCAGTTTTATACCATTGGTTGTCAGTTTTCTTCCCATAGGACCCAAAATACCCATGAAAACTTAGTTTGATTTCTTTCTCCCAAGTTGTTTTAGAGAAGGATGATTTATTAATATAATTGTTTTTACCTGTCTAGAAGGTCATCCTTCCCTCTTTTACTTACAGGGCTAGCTTGAGTTTCCCTCTTTTGTAAGAAGTCTTTCTAGACTTCACACACCTGTGATTACTGCCTTTCCTTAACCCTCTTGAGTACCTAGTGTCTTTCCTGATGGCATAGAACCTAACATTCAATCCTTGTAAATCTGTCTCTCATGAGCATTGCTGGCACGTCTGGGGGCAAAGACTATGTCACGCTTCTATGTATTCCCTGTGCTCGACATAGTTCCCCGAGCATGGTGGACTACATATTTATTGACAATGAAAGAAACCTGCAACTAATATACAGCTGTAGCTTTCAGTGGGCAGATTTCTAGACCACAGAAAACACAGCAAGTCATAAGTCCTCAAATACTCAAAGGGTGATTTGCAAGATGTGAATGAGTTTCGATATTGTGTATATTTCAGAAGTTCTGAAGTACACAGGTTTTCACACAAAGACAGATTCCTCAGAATACCTTCTAAGAAGAGAGATAGGGGACCTTTATTGACGTTTTTCATTATTACTTGATTTTGGAGGATCAGACTTAGCCCAAGAGACCTTCTAAATGAATGTGGGGCAGAAAGCCTGTCCCTCCAGGGGTGAGGAGGTGCTCTGTTCCTACCAACTGCATGCCCTGCTGGGAAAAGGAAATCTAATCGCAAGATGACTTTGTAGAGATATATTATACAGTAATAGCAAGTAGCAAGTGACTTTTTTTAAAACTGAAAGCTTTTTTGGCTCTCTTCAGCTATGGAGTTCAACATAGCCCTTACATTGAAACAAATTGTAACCAACAGATTTGATAAACAAATTCAAATAAAGGACATGAGATTACAGAATTGAAGTGACACGGATGACATGGGAACTATTGTAGCTTCTTAGAATAAATAATTGTAATTAAATTAACAACTGGGTTAAACAGCATTTTACCTGATTGAACTTTATTTTTTTTAAATAAATTCAAGTGAATCTTAAGGCATCTTCATAAAACAATTCAAAGTGGTAGGATTTTTAATTTTGCTTCTAGTTTCTGGGCTGCTTGTTCTGTCTTTACATGCCTGGAGTTAAAAGTATAAACCAGGTGACTCTCAATGGTCCTAACAGCCAAAAGATTGTGTGCGTTAAAGCAAACTTCTGGCAGGAGTAAATTGTAGACCTGCAGCCATGGATTACCTGCCTTACGAGGGTTTTTTTTGACTTGCATTTGCCTGCTGAACCAGTATTTGGCAACTGGTGCCATTCGCCTAAAATTTACCAATTCTTACTTTTGAGTCCCAAGTTGCCCAATGAGAAGGATATGCTTTTCGGTCTATTTTACTACCTACCTCACAGCATGGTACTGAATGCTGGAGATGTGACCTATAGAGCAGTGATTCTGAGCTAGAGCTGCAAGAAATAATCATCTGGGGATCCTTTAAAAAATTGCCACTATCTGCTTGAACTCAGGAATTTGGAGTTAGTGGCCCGAGGTGGTTCTAGGCATCATTATTTTTTAAAAACACCCTAGGTGATTTTTCTAATATCCAGTGCTATTAGTATTAGAGACTGGAAGGCAAATAATCACACCAAAGATCAAAGATAAGTAGGCAAAATGTTTGATGTCCTTTTCCAGTTACAACACTCTCTACCCAGGCCTCCACCTAGGCTGCTTCCCCTCCCCAAACCCTTTACTTTTTCCAGCCTATCAAACTTTTCCTGCCCTATCTCCCATTCTCACTGGGCTCTGCTTTCTGGGAAACAATTAACTAATATGGTACTGAAGTACACTAATGGATGTTAATAATTTACTGTAGTTCTCTTCCCATTGATCCTCTCATCTCAGTACATCTGAAAGATAACACATCTGGAAAAAGGAATGGCTAATTTTGGCAATTTCTAGGCCCATTCAAGTGCCATTTTAATTTATTTATTAGGTGGGAGGAGAGAGTTAGAGCAGGCAGACCCGACCTTCAGGAAGAGTGCCTGGCCTTGAAGTTCAGACCCTATTGATAGGCACTGCTTGACCTACTCAAATAAGGACCTGGGGCTGTCTTGAGTAAGAGAATGAAATATAAAATATGTGGGGGTGTTAGGCCCTCTTGCTCAGGACATGCTGGGGGAGCCTGCTTTGTAGATTTTATATACTTAGCTCTGTTTATTTGAGACAAGTACAGTGAACACTTCCCCTTTGTTATTCTTCCACTGGTCTGCAGAGCTGCTCTGGAGCTGCTGCTGCCCCCCTCAGAGAGCAAAGGTTAATCTCATTTTGAGAGAAATGACCTGAAATGTGTTCACTCAACCAACAAGAAAACACCATGTATCATTCAGGAATTGGTCTTGCGTCTTTTTTGTCTCCCTGTTAACAATATGCCTCTGAAGCCTCCCTAGTATTTCCTATAATGTGTTCCCATTTTTTCTTGCCAGTGAAATATTTGTGGAATTGTGTAGAAAAAGGAGCTAGTTTTACAGTGCTACATTCATAAAAAAATCCTATGAAATTTTTTATCTTATCCCTGTCACCTTTCCTTGGGCCTTTTTCTTTAATTGTGTTCCCAAGGCCTGTTATTACCGGAGATATTCTGAAAAATAGCAGCAAAGTTTAAATTTGTTGCTGTGTTGTTTTGGTTTTGTTTTTATTTTACTCCCAAAGATCACTCCTTCAGAAAATTCCTTGAGGCCTTGTCCTCAGTGCCATCACGGAGACGTCCCCAGTGTCCAGCAGAGGGCAGCCTATTCTCACTAAAAATTTCAGAGCTCCTTTTCCTCCAGGAATCTAATTAGTTTCTGTATTTGCTGTTATTCTTGGT